AGCAACCAGATATCAACCCTGATAGGGAAGTCACAAAAATAGATCAAAGCTAAAACCCTGAAAATAGGGAAATAGAGACATCAATATGTAAAAGATGACAACATTAAGACAAAAAAGAGGGACTAAAAAATGTAGTCATAGATCTTTCATATGGAAAGGAAGTCAAGACGATATAGAGATATGAGAGATTGGTTTAAACTTAGAAAAATAGGGGTAAATGTTAAGGTAACCACAAAGGAAACTAACAATCCTACACATTAAGATAAAAAACAAGAAAAACATAAAGAGTCAGCAGATACAAAATCCACAACAAGGAAAAGATGAAAAGAAAATACATAAAGAAAAACGACTCAGCACAGAAAATTAAGTGGAACACAGAAACTGTCAACAAAACAAAAAAATACATCAAAATGACAGCACTAAACTCACACCTATCAATAACCACGCTGAATGTAAATGGACTAAATGCACCAATAAATAAACAAAACAGTAGCAGAATGGATTAAAAAAAAAAACACGATTTGTCTATATGATATCTATAAGAGACACATCTTAGATTAAAGACACAAACAAACTAAAACTCAAAGGATGGGAAAAAATACATCAAGCAAACAACACTCACAAAAGAGTAGGAGTAACAATATTAATCTCTGACAAAATAGACTTTAAGGCAAAATCCATCACAAAGGATAAGGAAGGACACTATATAATGATTAAACGGTCAATACACGAGGAGGACATAACCATAATACATATTTATGCACCCAATGACAGGGCTCAAAATGCAGGAAACAAACTCTAACAACAATGAAAAGAGAAAGAGACAGCTCCACAATAATAGTAGGAGACTTTAACAAGCCAGTTTTGGTGAAGGACAGAACATCTAGAGAGAAGCTCAATAAAGGCATGGAAGATCTAAATGCTACAATCAACCAACTTGATTTCATAGACATATACAGAACAATCCACCCAGCTGCAGCCAAGTATACTTTCTTTTCCAATGCACATGGAACATTCTCCAAAATAGACCACATATTAGGCCATAAAGCAAGTCTTAACAGAATCCAAAATATCAAAATATTGCAAAGCATCTTTTCTGACCATAAAGCCATAAAAGTAGAAATCAATAAAAGGAAAAGCAAGGGAAAAACTCAAATACATGGAAACTGAACAACACCTTGCTCAAAAACTACTGGGTTATAGAAGAAATTAAGGATGGAATAAAGAAATTCATAGAATCAAATGAAAATGAAAACACATTCTACCAGAACCTTTGGGATACAGCAAAAGCTGTGCTCAGAGGTCAGTTTACAGCAGTAAACGCACACAACCAAAAAGAAGAAAGGACCAAAATCAAAATATTAACCCTACACCTGGAACAAGTAGAAAGACAGCAGCAAAAGAAGCCCTCGGGTGCCAGAAGAAAGGAAATAATAAGAATTAGAGCAGAATTAAATGAAATAGAGAATAGAAAAACAATTGAAAGAATTAACAAGACCAAAAGCTGGTTCTTTGAAAAGATCAACAAAATCGAGAAGCCACCGGCCAAAATTACAAAAGGAAAACACAAGAGGAAGCAAATAACCCAAATAAGAAATGAGATGGGTGATATCACAACAGACCCAACTGAAATTAAAAGAATCATAACAGAATATTATGAAAAATTGTATTCTAACAAATTTGAAAACCTACAGGAAATGGACACATTTCTAGAAACACACTACCTACCTAAACTAATACAAACAGAGATAGAACAACTAAATAAACCTGTAACAAAAGAAGAGATTGAAAAGGTAATTAAAAAGACCCCCAACAACAAAAAAAAAGAGAGCCCTGGCCCTGAAGGCTTCACTGAAGAAGTCTACCAAACTTTCAAAGAAGAGCTAATACCACTACTACTAAAGGTATTTCAGAATACAGAAAAGGATGGAATATTCCCAAACTCATTCTATGAAGCCAGCATAACCCTGATACCAAAACTAGGCAAAGACACCACAAAAAAAGAAAATTACATGCCAATATCCCCCATGAACAGAGATGCAAAAATCCTCAACAAAATTCTAGCCAATAGAATTCAACAACATATCAAAAAAATAATTCACCATGACAAAGTGGGATTCATACCAGGTATGCAGAGATGGTTCAACATTAGAAAAACAATCAATGTAATCCATCACGTAAATAAAACAAAAGACAAGCACCACATGATCTTATCAATTGATGTGGAAAAGTTATCTGACAAAGTCTAAAACCATTCATGATAAAAACTCTCAGCAAAATGGGAAAAGAAGGGAAATCCCTCAACATAATAAAGGGCATTTATACAAAGCCAACAGCCAACATCATCCTAAATGAAGAGAGTCTGAAAGCATTCCCCTTGAGAATAGGAACCAGACAATGATGCTCTTTATCACCGTTCTTATTCAACATTGTGCTGGAGGTCCTGGCCAGAGCAATTAGGCTAGAGAAAGAAATAAAGTCATCCAAATTGGTAAGGGAGAAGTAAAAGCATCTCTATTTGTGGATGATATGATCTTACACACAGAAAACCCCAAAGAATCCACAAGAAAACTACTGGAACCAATAGAAGATTTCAGCAAAGTATCAAGATACAAGATAAACCTACAAAAATCAGTTGGATTCCTCTACACCAACAGAGAGAACTTCAAAGAGGAAACCACCAATTCAATACCATTTACAGTAGCCCCCAAGAAGATAAAATACTTAGGAATAAATCTAACCAGAGACATAAAAGATCTAAACAAAGAAAACTACAAGACATTACTGCAAGAAGCCAAAGGAAAAACATACCTTACTCATGGATGGGAAGACTCATCATTGTGAAAATGTCAATTCTACCCAAAGTGATACAGAGATACAATACAGTCTTGATCCAAATTCCACCAGCATTTTTTTTTATGAGATGGAGAAACAAATCACCAACTTCATATGGAAAGGGAAGAGGCCCTGGATAAGTAAAGTATTACTGAAGAAGAAGAACAATGTGGGAGGCCTCACACTACCTGATTTTAGAACCTATTATACTGCTCCAGTAGTCAAAACAGCCTTGTATTGGTACAACAACAGGTACATAGACCAATGGAAGAGAATTGAGAATCCAGTTGCAAATTCAACCACCTATGAGCAGCTGATATTTGGCATAGGCCCAAAGTCCATTAAATGGGGAAAAAGCAGTTTCTTTAACAAACGATGATGGCATAACTGGATATCCATTTGCAAAAAAAGGAAACAAGACCCATACCTCACGCCATGCACAAAAACTAACGTAAATGGATCAAAGACCTAAATATAAAATCTAAAACAATAAAGATCATGAAAAAAAAAATAGGCGCAACACTAGGAACCCTAATACAGGGTATAAACAGAATACAAAACATAATTAACAATGCACAAACACCAGAAGAAAAACTAGATAATTGGGAACTCCTAAAAATCAAACACTTATGCTCATCAAAAGACTTCACCAAAAGAGTAAAAAAAAACAACTTACAGACTGGGAAAAAAATTTTGGCTGTGACATATCCGATCAGGGTCTAATCTCTAAAATCTACAAAATACTGGAAAACTTCAACTACAAAAAGTCAGATAACCCAATTAAATAATGGGCAAATAACATGAACAGGCACTTCACCAAAGAAGACATTCAGGCAGCTACCAGATACATGAGCTAGAAATAGAAGTACCATATGATCCTGCAATCCTACTCCTTGGAATATACCCTAGAGAAATAAGATCCATCACATGAATAGATATATGCACACTCATGTTCATTGCAGCACGGTTCATAATAGCAAAAAGATGGAAAAAACATCAAGAGATGAATGGATAAACAAATTATGGTAGAGTCACACAATGAAATACTAAGCAAAATAAAGAACAACAATGAATCCATGAAACATCTCATAACATAGATGAATCTGGAAGGCATTATACTGAGTGAAATTAGTCAACTGCAAAAGGACAAATATTGTATGAGACCACTATTAGAAGAACTCAAGAAAAAGTTTAAAGACAGAAGAAAACATTGTTTGATGGTTACGAGGGTGGCGAGAGAGGGAGAGGGGAATTCACTAACTGAATAGTAGACAAGAATTATCTTAGGTTAAGGGAAGGACAACACACAATACAGGGCAAATATGGAAAGCCCAACCATAGCCTAATATGTAATTTAGTATTGTAAATAATTTTTAATTAAAGATGGCAATTTAATAACAAAGTCTTATCACTCAATATTTGCTAAGCATCTCCTACTTGTGTGACATGGCATAGATTCCTCTGCACTGATTGATTAAAAAGTCCTGTTTCACTTACTATATGCTGTATACTATCTACTTCTGGAAAATACCACTATTGCTCATTGATTTAGTGTAAGACCACTCAGAATGTGGAAGAGCCCTATTGCTAATTCCATATCCATAGCTGACATTCAAAAGTCTCACAGATGACTGAGGAGCATCAGAGTGATTTTACCAATCAACCACTAAACCTCAAAATCATTTTTATGGTTCTAGTAGAAGGAAAGGTGGATTAGGGGTGGAGATATGGTGAGGAGTATATGGATAAAGAAATCCTAATTGAGATTGGGATCTCTCTGCAGAAAGCAAGAACGTCTGTGATTCTCTGAAAGAACCCAAATGCTCCAAATTCCAAGAAAAGACGAAAAACTACTGCTCTTTGAACATGAACGTTCCACAAGTAAATTCACCAAGAGCTTAGAATGTACTTCTGGTAGCAATAGGTAGGACTCTAGAACTATTCTCCAGAGAATTTCAATGCTATTTGTAAGCCAAACTATGACTAAAACAGAGGAAATTTGAAAAACAGATTTCCTGAACTTCCCACTGTATTCTCTTTAACAGTTCCTTGGACATAACACATATGCCGTTAGCTGTCCATCCTACTAGTAACAGTGCTTCCTTCCTGCAGATTCATTAACACTGAAACAATATACCATTAAAAAAAAAAAAAAAAGGATTTACATGAAAGACAACTGGAGCTGGTTGCCAGGGGAACTGACTATGTTCCAGACGCATTCCACATTAGAAGGATAAACTTCTGGGTAGCCAGGGCTGTTGAAGGTGCCTTCAGCCATGTGGAAGGTCCCACCACAAGCTAGAAGAAAAGGAAAATAAAATAAGTGCTAGAGCCAAGATTGAATACAAAACATCATAAGACAAAGGAGAAAGAATGCTAGATGAACTATTATCAGCATCAAAGGATATCCTATTCCCATGTTACATCAGAAAAATTAATAATCCATGCCATGTATGATAAACAGCAGTTCTCAGTGGCTGATCAGAAGGAATCTCTGCAGTGTCTTTCTAAAGGCCCTTTCTCCCTGTGAACTGTGAAGACTTGTTTTAATCAGTGCTTGTGATCAGGATTATCTTCAACCCTGGCCTAAACAGAAGGCAATATTTCGGCCACGGAAAGACAAACACACAAATATTCTATGTGTTCAAAGGCATTTAACTGCTAACAAGGAAGCCAGCAGCTAGCAATCAGGCACTCTCTTGGTCAGTAAACCCAGTACGGGGTGCATCTGGCTTCCTCTCCTCCCCATGTGCCACTGTCTATCCTGTCTTGCCATCAGTGACAACAGACCCTGTCTGGGCCTAGCAGTGAGGCCAGTGACACTGGAGAACAGCCACATGGTTGTTCCTCCACAAGAGGTGCCTTTGACATTGTCAGTCAGGGGCTGCCTTGACAATCATTTTATAAAGGAGAACACCAAGACACAAATAAACAGGCTGTCCTGGATAGTATCATCATGGGGCTTAGCATAAAAGGAGGCCAGATTTCCAACCAATTCTCCCTATAGTTCACTCTGTTCAAAATTACAAGTATATTAATCCTAATTTGGAAGATCAAAGAGGTCATCTCAAGAATTGGACCCCCGACTTTGAAGAGTCCCAATGACAAACCAAGGATTTCTGCCACATTTCTGTTAATCTAATAAAGCCATTTGCTAACCTGTCTTACCTGATGACGATGCAGCATATAAAGCATGAAAACCCTCAGAATTCACTCTAGAATCAGAGACGAACTTCAGCGTCAGGGCATTGCTGAAAGAAGTGACGGGATGCGGCATGGAGATGCCACAATAACGGCCTACATGTGAAGATAACAACAAGGAAGTGAACGATGACGCGGCACAGGACGTTATTTCTGTTAAGCGTGACTTTGCTCTAATTATAAGAGACCAAAGCAAACAGAAGTAATCCTTAGTAGGAGAACCATTTGAATCAGGGTCAGTGTTTGACAAAATACCTGAAAATTAAAAATAAACTATAAATGCAAGCATAGCGGAGATGATTTATAAAGATGATGAAGAATATTAGAAGGCCACAGGAAAAACTTAGATGATCTGGCTCCAAATGTAACTTAAGCTAAAATCTCTAGCACAGTGGGGACTTGCATAAATAAGCTAATACTTAGAGGCAATATATCGTAGCAGAGAAAATATGTGGATGCTGGAGCCAGACTACCCAGATTCAACTCCTGGCTCTGCCACTTACTAGTTATGTGACCTGTAGGAAGTTACTCAAGTGCTTTGTGCCTCAGTTTCCCATTTGATACAGTGATACATGGATAATAATAATACCTACATCATAAGGGTCTGGGAATTAATTGAGTTACTATTTATAAACTGCTTAGAATAGTATTCAGCACAAGGTAAGTACTATGTGTTTGTTAAATAATATACCCTCATCCCTGCAAATGCTTATTGACAAAGATCTCCGGCAGTAAAATCAGAGTTGAACATAAAGCATAAAGCATTCACTTATTGCACACTATAGCCTCAGGCACTGTTCTGGGCACTAGGAATGAAGCAATTAGAAAACCAAAGTCCCTTCTCTGATGGAGTTTGTATTTTAGTGGAGCAAGAGAAACCTGTATATAAAAAAACAAACAAAAAAAAAACCCAGTTGCTGTCGAGTCGATTCCGACTCATAGCAACCCTATAGGACAGAGTACAACTGCCCCGTAGGGTTTCCAAGGAGCAGCTGGTAGATTTGAATTGCTGACCTTTTGGTTAGCAGTCAAATACTTAGCCACTGTGCCACGAGGACCCCACCTGTATATAAAGCTCAAAAGTTATTAAACTCATAGAGAAAATTTAAATTAACTGAGATTATTTTCCCTGAGGACATTTCAGAAACTATTGTTAGATGCCATCGAATCAGCCGGACTCCTAGTGACGCCATGCACAACAGAACAAAACACTGCCTGGTCAGGTAATGGATCAGACAGTTGTGATCCACGGGGTTTTCACTGACTGATTTTCAGAAGTAGATCCCCAAGCCTTTCTTCCTAGTCCATCTTTGTGTGGAAGCTCCACTGAAACCTGTTCAGCATCACAGCAACACGCAAGCCTTGACTGACAGGTGGTATCCACATATGAGATGCATTTCAGAAACTAAATAGCAGCAGTCTTGAATTACACTGGGATGTCTTACATATAGAGTGACAGACTTGTTTTATTTTTTTTTTCCACTGAGACAAAGCCAAGAAGAAACATACTAAATTTGAATATAAGAACTTTGTTCAAAATTTAACAAGAAATTTCTGACAGAATGCTATCCAATGTTGAAGGCTACGTTTCACTATTATCTAAAGTAGTTGCAACTTTTTATTTTATTTTTAAAAAATACACATAAACTATTCATTTTCCTTGAATATAAACAGGCTCAGTTTCTTGGATCTCACATGAAGCCCTGCTTTCTTACCCTTTAATTATCTTTAGTTGGCTTATACTGTTCTTCATATTTATTGGAAACATTCTAACCTCTAATGGCAGACTATGAAGATGTATGTATAAATAAAACACAGCCAAGGCCACAAATATAAATTAGTGAAAACCACAGTACCTCGGAGAGGTGCATCATAGTCGCTACCATCCAAAATTTCTAAAAAGTCACGTGAGCATGCTGTGCTGCTTTCAAGCCCAAAGTGGCTAAAGGAGAGGGTTATGTGACTGACTGTAAGAAAAAAAGAGATTATTTAACAAAGTACTGGCAAACAAAACATACAAGGGAGAGAAAATTTACCTCAGATAATTGCATAAGAGGATTCTCCAGCAGTGAAGCAAAGAATTTGGCAGATTTGCACCAGCAATTTACTGGGTTAGAGAGAAAGGAACAACTGCTGTGCTAGAGGGTTTTCCTTTGAAGCGTAATAGGATCAATATTTTCTAAAGAGCCCGTAGAATCTGAAATATGGGTAGTGGTAAATAAGAGAACACTCTTGGGTAGGTTCATTCCAGAGACAACATGGGGAACATCTGGTTGGAAAGATGATGGAAACTAATCTTTTTTTATATAGACCACTGTTGTATTCCCCTTGGAAGCATTTTTATCTGAAAGAATAATTTCTGTAAATTCCGAATCTTTTCCTGTGCTTGTACATAAGACACCCTATCTCACTGGCACACACATCCTAGCACACACAGTTTTATTTTAAGGCCAGAGCCAGGCCCTAGTGCTTCAGAGACATTTAGAAAGAAAGCTTTGAATTACTTGCACAACAGCAAGTGCCTGGGTACATTTTCCTTTTGTTGTTCTTCCAGAGTCTCTAATCTTCAGAATAGGATCTTTTTCTGTTGCTGCAGCTTGAGCTGGGGAGATCTTTCATCTAAGTGCCTTACAGCTCATTAGAAAATCACCCTCAGGCACAAACTGCACTGTTCAACTGCAGGGGGCTTCTTTATCTATGGCTCAGTTTCTGGCTGGCAACTTTCTTTGGGCCTTTACAATCCCTGTCTGCAACTGTCTAAGGATTACATCACCATCCTCCAAGCTGTATGCATGTCAGTAAAGATACTATCAATTTGTTAACTCTTAACATCACTAGGAAAATTGTCAGAGATATGTAAGCCAAATCCTTCATTTTACAGATTAGAAAATGGAGTCCAAATAGCTTAAGCGACTTGCCTATTATCACACAGGTCATTAATCACAGAGCTGAGTCAAGAACCAAATGTCTTTCCACGTTACATCTAAAAAATCATAAACTTCCTGATAATCTCAAAAGGGGGCAGGGCTCATCTGAAACAGGATCCATAATAGCCCAGAATCACTCCCTTTGCAGCCATTTTGCTGTGTCCTTAGGGGTCTCCTGATATTCTCTGTCTTTAAAAATGTGGACAGTAATCCTTACTACCAGAGGGTTATCAAGTCAGAAATTAAGATGTTACAATTCAAAAAAGAAAACGAACAAGTACTTATTAAGTGTGCCTTCTAGGCTTTGCTGGGATTTTTTTTTTTTTTTTTTTTTAATGCATGCATTGCAGGCAAGACCAGGTTTTATAATTGGTTTCCATCTTTATTGAAGTTCAATAGGCCCATGGCATTGTATTCTCAATCAGTGTGTTATTAATTCTCCAGGGTATGGTTCTTATTATTCATTCAGCAACCATCTACTACACTCAAGGCACACATGTCAAAAACCATTTATCAATTATTTTTACTTATTCCCAAACTCCCACCCCTGACACTGTGGTAACAAAGTTATAAGTTTGTTTTTTTGTTTTGTTTTGTTTTATTTTATCCTTAGCTCTTGAAACTTAAAAAAAAATTTTTTTTTTGTTTAATTAAGTAAAAACAGTGAAAATTACTTCCTTTTCAGATTAGGAGATGCTCTTCTTGCACACATCAGGATTTGGGACTTTCAGAAGAGGGAGGTCATCAGTTGTTACCACCGAGGAGATAAGAATATTAGTCATACACTGTCTTTCCCTCGGACATGATCTGTCCAGATAGCTTTTCTTTTTCGTTTTTGCTACTTACATGGAGGTTGAGCTTGAATTATCCAGCTGCAGTTCTGATTGTTTGGATACTTGGCAGGGAACAATGGAGAAGAAATAGTATCAAAAGAATTGGTGAGGAGGAAGCCTCCACAGGCTGGAGAACACACAAACATACATATATGTCAATTACTTTTGATTTCTACTGACTGTACAGAACAATTAGGAAGTGAATAATTTGATGAATGAAAACATAAATTACTTTCCTTATTCCTGAAATGAATGCCAAGGAAGTCACATACAAACCGTGAGAAAATGGGAACATATTTGACATTCAGAATAATATTTTTAAATGACAGGAAATGGGAAATTGTCACACAGCAACAGATTAAGTGGCTATGAATTGCCTCGCCAATTCAAATAAAACTCTGGCAACGATTCACTTACTCTGTCCACTCATAAATTGCAGCTACAAGTGGCCTATCGTTTTAAGAAAATAAATTCTCAAGTGAACAAGCCTGCATAAGGATTACTGCACTTTATCAAAGAATTGCAAAGTTCTATGGGAATCCAGAAGAGGGAGAGTTTATGGCCAACAGGAGAGCATAAGAGGAGAGCTCATGGAGGGGGCAGAGGCTGAACAATGAATTCGAGGATGAGGAAGAGTAGTCCAGGGAGAGGACAACCTGAGCAACGACACTGAGGAGGGTAAGAGCTACACCTGTGCAGACTTGGCTGCAGCGTGGGGTGTTGGAGGTGCGGCTGGAAAGACAGATTGGAGGCAGGTTCCAAGCCCCTTGGGTAATACATGGAGGAGTTTGGGCTTCATTCTCCAGGCAGCATTGAGCCAGGAGAGAATGGTATGAAACCCATGTAACACCTACTTCAAGGGTTAAAACGTGACTATATTAACAGTGAGCCTTGTGATTTATATTGGTATATCTCCTTCTAGTATAAAACCTTGGTTAAAGGTTAGATAAATGAATCTGGGGAAAAAAAATGTGTACTGTCTCTAGTATTAAAGGTGCTTTACAGTACCATTCTGAAAGCTTGCTTGGATACACATCTATCCAAAGGAAGGTAACATCATCTAAATAGACAAGGCCGAAGTTAAAAGTATAAACAATTGGAATAATTTCAAGTCATAATTTTTTTCTTGTTCTATTTAAATTTTTACACAGTTAAGTACAAAACTGTCACCAATTTCTGAGGGCCAGTCTCATTTTATTGGAGCACCAAGAGGGGCACTAAGAACCATTGGTCTGTGCCTCGGGGAGACCCGCATGACACTTGCCTTGCCTGAAGCGAGCTCGGAAGCCTCTGCTCTGTCTGGACGCTCCAGACCGAAATCGCACAAAGAGAGTATTTCCTGAAGAGGTGAGGGGATTAGTCGGCTGCTGTCTTCCACACACACTGGCAAGGCGGGTGGTTGCAGAGTTGAAGCCATCATATGCCTACAAAGAAAGACAACAGGTAAAATAGTGGCTTAGAACTTCAGATTTGCATTTCTAAGACTTCTTTCCATGGACTATCTGCCATACCCGTGAACTAGTGGAAAACAACACATTTGCTGGATCTACTAAAATTGGCTTATTTTATTGTCTTGCCACACAGTTTCATGGGAGATACTGACTCTCTGGCCATTTCTAAGGACACTAATATTGTTTTCAGTGGGAGTTTCTCTGCCTGCGCCACTATTAGACCTCTGGGTGTCTTTATAAATCCTGTCCCTTTCACAACCCTCCTCCCTCCTCGACCCCAGTACAGTCACATCATAGGCCATACCTCCAGCATGTGCTGAAAATATATGATGCAAAAGGAATATATGAGTAAATAGAGGAGAAATAATGATGCAGAACCATTCATTTTTCAGAAACCAAACATTTTCTGGAACTTTTTCTTCTTGATGGGGTCATGGTCAAGAAAGAAGAGAAACGGCAGAATTCTTTCAAATGATACGAGTGATATAAGCTTGATTTAGAAAATTATCATTTTAAAAAATATACTGGGCTCTGTGTCTGCTCAATAATATGCTAGGATTTAGCTAGCACTCAGTATGTGCGAATAGAATAGAGTTCACATTACAACTACCCTAAATGGCTGTGTTGGTTTGTGAAATTGGAGCTTGCTCATTTCATTAGAATTTTGTGTGTCTGCTATGAATTTTTGAAGGCTTTTCTGTGTAAACCAAAGGAAAATGAGTTCCTTTTTTTTTTTTTTTTGATGATAATCATAGTAATAGCTACCATCCATCAAGTGCTTCTTATGTGGCAGGAACTGGGTTCAGTCCTTCACATATTATCATTCTATTTTATTCTTTCAACATTCTATTTTTAAAAGGAAGACAACTGATGTACAGAGAACCAAGTGACGTGGCCAAGTCACACAATTCCTAAAGGGAGTACATTATGCTGAATGAGACGACTTGATTTTGAACTCTTTCATTTTGTTTAATGCAAGATATCAATTGGCCAGGATACATACATCAACCCAACAACCACCAGAGTGAGATTAAAAGTAGTAAGTTAAATTATGGCTGTCTCATTCAAAAGAAATTTCTATTTCTATTTCATAAGAAAGTCTTGGGAAAAAATAGCAAGTTTAGGGATTTAGTGAAAGGATATTACTCATAAATGACTTTAAATATTCAATGATGACTATAATCAGTGTTTTCTTTAGCATGTAAGTATGATTGCAAAGCCATTCTCAGTTTGATTTATACAAGCACATAAATCAAACGTCGATTTATAACTAACTAATGAGGGAGCTCTGGTGGCGCAGTGGTGAAGAGCTTGGCTGCTAACCAAAAAGTTTGGCAGTTCGAATCCATCAGCTGCTCCTTGGAAACCCTACGGGGCAGTTCTACTCTGTCTTATAGTGTCGCTATGAGTCAGAATCGATTTGACAGCAACGGGTTTGGTTTGGTTTTAATGAAGGGGATAAGGCTTTACAATAGTTAATTTAAAATAAATTGTTCTGGAACAGCATTTCTTTCTTTTTTTCTCCTTTTCTTCCTCCTCTTCTTTTTCTCTTTTTTATTCAATGATCAATTTTTTAAACCTATGTATTGAATAAATGAAACTTTAAACAGATTTTTATTCAACATTTAAACATTGATTAAAAATGAAGTTACATTTCTATAACAGATTCAAAATACAGTTTCCAATCTAGTATGACTGCTTCGTTTGAACACTTTGAAAACCTTAAATAGAGGTCAATACAACACAAAAACCATCATTACAAAATCTCTGACTAAATTTAACACTGCAACCTACTCTTAAATATTACTACTATTGGTATAATTGAAGTCTTCATTTTATTTATACTTGGTTTTATACCCTCCTAAAGTTATAGGTATCCTAGGATTTCAGTAATGTTATACTAATACTATTGTGGCTTTAATATCAAAAGATAAAAAATACCTTCTTAGAACATCCTGGGTTACAGGGAATGGAGAATAAATTAATTTTTGGTCAAGGCACAAGACTGCTTGCTTCTCTCAAGCTGACTAATTCATTCATCTGTTTATTTATTTAAAATAGCATTTCTTAAACTCTATTGAAACATGGGATCCATGAACAGTTTACAGACTTTTCTCAAAAAACGAGAAAAACACATTTAGAAGACAAGACCATGGACTCACAAAGGCAAGAATGTTCTAAACCAAAAAAAAAAAAAAAACCCAAACCCATTGCCATCAAGTGGATTCCGACTCATAGTGACCCTATAAGACAGAGTAGAACTGCCCCATAGGGTTTCCAAGGAGCAGCCGATGGATTCGAACAGCCGATCTTTTTGGTTAGGAGCCATAGCTCTTAACACTGCGCCACAGGGCTCCAAGAATGTTCTAGTCTTGTTTATTCCACCACTGCCCCCAAATTCTAAGGTCCAGTGAGTAAATAGATTTTGGATTTTCTGTTTTTAAGTTGTCTTTTTCTCCCTGAGGTGTTGCAATCCTCTCATGGAAGAAGGGAAAAATAAGGCAAAAAAGGTAAGCTAAAAAGTTAACACTAGACACTTTAGAAAGTCCCCTGAATGAGCCATTTCCCTGAGGATCCTTTGAAAGGGGCAAATCTTCTTGGGCGAGGTGGGGGGGAGCTCTACAGGCTTCCCAGGCTCTCCCTGAGATCCTAGAATTCCAGGAGCTCTGCTGAACTTCATCTGGCCTGGGGCATTGCTTCATAAGGAATGGATCCAAAGTGGAAGGCTTCCAAACATCACTGAATCAAAATTACATACCAATGATACTACAAATTTGATTAGCATGTTATAATTTTACAAGCACCATTAAAAATAGTCCTAACCTAGTCTTCAACAACATGTCATTTTTTTTTTTAAATGAAGAAAGTGAGACTTAGCAAAGTGTGCTGGCTATTAAACTATTGTCTCATGCACTGTAATCTAGTGACTCATCCAAAATCACACAGTGAGAATTAAGCCAGGAACTTAATTCTTCTCTCTCCATATTCTCTATTGTTGCATGTTACCTCTCTTTAAAATGCTCAGGGGCATTATTAAGTTATATGAGCCTAATTATCATTTTATGAAAGTAAAAAAACTTCAGGCCACTGAAGGCCCCGTTAAAAAAAAAGAAGGTTGTGAATAGACCTGAAGGCAGTGACTCAGACAGACACATGTACGCCAATGTTCATTGCATAGTTTTGGGTATTCACAATGGCCAAAACGTGGAAACAACCTAAATGTCCATCAACAGATGAATGATAAATAAAATACGGTATATGCATACAATGAAATATTACTCCACTATAAAGAGAAATGAAGTCCTGATATATGTCACAACTGAATAAACCTTGAAAACATTATGCTGAGTGAAATAAGTCAATCACAAAAGGACAAATATTGCATAATTTCATTAATATGAGGTACCTAGGATAGGCAAATATATGGACATCAGAGTTTAAAAGTGGTTACCAGGGGTGGGAGAGGGGGACAGAGGGGGGAATTATTGTTTAGGAAGCATTGAGTTTTTGTTTATGGGGATGGCAAATTTGGCAAAGTATATTGGTGACGGTTGTATAACATGATTGATGTAACTGATCGCACTGAATTGTATACTGAAAAATGTTGAAATGGCAGACTTTGTGTTATCTATATTTTTACAATAATTAAAAAATACTTCTAGAGACTTCCGGCAAAATGGTGCTCTAGGCAGAAGCACCATGCCGTCGCTCCACAGCAAAGATCTGAAAAACTAAGCTGAACAGAGAAAACAACAATCCTGAAACCTTAAAACATCAAATGAAGAGATAAAGAACTCAGCCAAGCACCAAATGGAGT